TATATATATATATATATATATATATATATATATATATATATATATATATATTTTAAAATATTGTTTAATATAATCTGTTATTTTGTAATAAACAAAGAATGCTATTAATTATGAGAATAATCCTTTTAAAAGGATCGAGCGCGCAAAAACTCTAAAAGGAATACTTAAATTGTATATAATATTATATATTAAACTGACCCAATAATAATTATATTTATATTAATGTTAATTGTACTAAGACATTATTATAGCAACAATAGTAGTAGTAGTGATGATGATAATAATAATAATAATAATAATAATAATAATAATAATAATAATCACTCCAATAACTATAACAATAATAGTAATAAAAGGTAACAAATAATTAAGATAGAGCATTAAATTGTTAATGCTAGGGAGCACCAGAAAATTAATTAGAAGAAAGGTAGGACAAAATTGGGTATCAACAGCTGCCCCTCTTTGACCGAAAATGATGAAAGAGTTTTTGGGCAAATAAATTGATGTAGTAGCCAATTTTGTCCTTGTCAACAAGTACACCCTTGAAAGGATGATGATGATATGGATGTTAGAAAAATTATAGAATGGAATCATTTCAATCGATGTCCTATTTTAAAGTAGACGAGCCTACATGTCCTATTGAAAGTAGATGTACCTAAGGAAGGACCGAAATGATTACCTAAATGAAAGGTATTTTGAAAGGTTACGACCAAACTTCGGTTTTTGAGTTGCCTACATATCTCGGGCTTTACGAGAAGCAGGCCATATGCAGTTTGAATGGATGCTAAATTTAAAACTGCCCCAGTATCGAATTATGGTAAGATCAGGTGTTTGAGATTAAGGAAAATGAGATTTGCTGAATAAGATTGTGCGGACATAAGACTCATGATGGATACGACCAGATCCAAGTGTGCTTGAATTGCCATGTATATCCGCGAATTTGCGAGAATGTGGATAGGAGTATATCTTTAACCTCTTGCTGACGAGTTTGATTCCACCTTCAGCAATTGCTCTAGTTCACTGCTTAGATATGATCCACGACTTGATGTACTATATTTCCTGCTAAGCTCAACATACTAGGTAAAATTGTTAGTAAACATGATATAAAAATGCCATAAGTCATAAAATAATTTCATTAAAATGACACCTCTAAGCCGTTAATTTATCTTAAAATAAGCCAGGTATGTTTTAAAAATAATTCTTTGATCATGACCAATGAAATGAGGCTTTGAGCCAATGATTCATGTAAATGGCGCCTTTTAGCGACGACTTATGTATGATTGATAAAAATGAGGCATTTAAGCCAATGATTGATGAAAATGAGGCATTTAAGCCAAATGATGAAGTAATTGAGGCATTCAAGCCAAATGATTTAAGGTAATAAAAATATTTGTGGTGCATTTGCAGGGCAATTGTGTGGTGCATTTAAAAGTAATAGTACAGTGCAGTTGAAAGCATTTGCATTGTGCATTTGCAAGCAATGATATAGTACTTTTAAAAGCATTTGTGAAGTGCATTTGCAGTGCCTTTGAAAGCGAAAATTCAGTGCATTTGAAAGCATTTATATTATGCATTTTGCATGCAATGGTGCATTCGAAAACAATGGTGCAATGCATTTAAAAGTATTTGGAAGCGATGGTGCAGTGCATTTGCGGTGTATTTGAAAGCAATGGTGTGGTGCATTTGCAGTGCATTTGAAAGCAATGGTGCAGTGCATTTGCGGTGCATTTGAAAGCAATGGTACGGTGCATTTAAAAGTCAATGTGTAATATATGTAACGCCGCGTGCGATGTAATTTGCATTTATAAAAGATTAGTAGCTGAAAAGTAATGACAATCGATGTATATTAAAAAATATATATATATTGTAAGGTTCCAAAATTATAAATAGAAAAATCTCAAACTTGGATTTTAAAGATCATCATCATTCAAAAGGTGAAATTAATAAAATACTATAAAAAATTCAAACCGCTCGACGAAGGGTCTTGGTGTTTATATTTGTTTTATTGATTCTTCTGCTTCCTCTATCTTGAAAATCTGCACTCAAAGAAAAACTTGTGAGTTTGGGGGGGAGGTTGATTCATGTTGACTTTGATGCTCTGGTCTTTGATAGTCTTGCGCTTCCCACTTTGTTTGGACTTGTAGCCTCCCCCCAACACTGAATCTTGGGGAACGAATAGTTAAGAGATTTTATGATAAAAAACCCTATTTTAATAAATAAAATATGCATAAATTTTATAAAATAAAGTTGTTGCCGAATTCTGCATTGTGACATGCTCGTGAAACAAAGTGAACGTCCTCATTTGGAATCCCGTCATTCATCTTGCTTGACCCTCCTTTGTCGATGACTAATGCCTCCTCATGACGACGCCTTCAAAAGCTGCCCCAGTTTCCAATTTGGGGGGAAATATTAAATTTTATTATGATGAGACCGAACCCACAGGGCTGCCTACGTATCCCCTCTTAAACGGGAATCAGGTCAAACGTAGTTCATTTACATTAAGAAGCATTACATAGAAAAGAAGAGGTTGCCACATATGCCTCTAGACGTAGTATCTCTTGACTGCATCTGCGTTGATGGGTTTGGGCCATACTTCACCATCCATTTCTGCTAAAATCAGTGCTCCTCCAGTCAATACCCGATGCACCATGTACGGACCTTGCCAATTTGGTGCAAACTTTCCTTTGGCTTCATTTTGGTGCGGGAATATGCGCTTCAAAACCAATTGCCCCGGTTTGAACTGCCGTGGTTTCACTTTCTTGTTGAAGGCTCTGGCCGTCCTATTTTGATAGAGTTGACCATGGCAAACTGCATTCATTCTCTTCTCGTCAATAAGCATTAGTTGTTCGTACCGATTCTTTACCCATTCTGCATTGCTCAGCTCGACTTCCTGGATGACCCTCAAAGATGGTATTTCAACTTCCGCAGGTAATACAGCTTCAGTTCCATAGACCAGAAGATAAGGTGTTGCCCCAGTTGATGTTCTGACTGTAGTGCAATATCCAAGGAGAGCAAATGGTAGCTTCTCATGCCAATGCTTGTAGTTATCAATCATCTTCCGCAATATCTTCTTTATGTTCTTGTTGGCTGCTTCAACGACTCCATTCATCTGAGGTCGATAGGGGGTGGAATTTCGGTGAGTAATCTTGAACATATCACATATTTCTTGCATCAAGCACTATTGAGATTGGCTCCATTATCTGTAATGATTGACTCAGGAATTCCAAATCGGCAAACGATGTTATTGCGGACAAAATCTGCTATAACCTTCTTTGTAACTGACTTGTAAGAAGAGGCTTCTACCCACTTTGTAAAGTAATCAATAGCTACCATGATAAATCTATGCCCATTTGAGGCGGCCGGCTCAATTGGGCCGATGACATCCATGCCCCAAGCTGCAAACGGCCAAGGAGAACTCATCACATTGAGTTCATTTGGTGGGACTCGAATCAAATCACCGTGGATCTTACACTGATGACATTTCTGTACAAAACGACTGTTTCCATGGTCATCCAAAAGTAACCTGCTCGCAGAATTTTCTTTGCCAAAGTAAACCCATTCATGTGAGGCCCACATGTTCCTGCATGTATATCTTCAATCAACTTGGTTGCTTCCCTGGCATCTACACACCTCGACAGTCCTAAATCTGGGGTCCTCCTATATAGGATTTCGCCGTTTAGGAAAAAGTTATTTGCCAATCTCCTAAGTGTTCTCTTCTAGGTACTGGTTGCTCCTTCAGGGTAATCCCTTGTTTTGAGATACCTATTAATGTCATAATACCATGATTCTCCGTCTGGCTCTTCATCCACATGGAAACAATAAGCTGGTTGATCCTGCACATTCACCTTGATGGGGTCTATGTAGTTCTTGTCTGGATGTTGAATCATGGAAGATAAAGTTGCTAAAGCATCTGCGAACTCATTTTGAACTCTTGGAACATGCTTGAAGTCCACATTGATAAACTTCTTACACAACTCCTTTACAAAATGTAAGTACGGTAGGATTTTTGTGTTCTTTGTATTCCACTCGCCTTGTACTTGATGAATTAACAAGTCTGAATCACCTATAACCAATAACTCTTGGATGTTCATATCTGCGGCCATTCTGAGCCCAAGTATACAAGCCTCATATTCCGCCATGTTGTTGGTGCATGGAAATCGAAGTTTCGCTGAGATTGGATAATGTTGTCTAGATTTTGAAACTAGTACTGCTCCAACTCCGACTCCTTTGAAGTTTGCGGCTCCATAAAAAAATATTCTCCAACCAGAATATGCTTCTGAAATATCTTCTTTAGCGAACAATACTTCTTCATCTAGGAAGTACGTCCTAAGTGGCTTGTATTCTTCATCCACAGGATTTTCTGCGAGGTGGTCAGCTAACGCTTGTCCTTTGATGGCCTTCTGAGTAACATACACGATGTCAAACTCACTTAGCAAAATTTGCCACTTCGCCAGCTTTCCTGTAGGCGTAGGTTTCTGAAAGATGTACTTGAGCGGGTCCATCCTGGAAATGAGATAAGTGGTGTATGCTGACAAGTAATGCCTCAACTTTTGTGCAACCCAGGTTAAGGCACAACAAGTGCGTTCCAACAAAGTATTCTTGCTTCAGATGGTGTGAACTTCTTGCTCAAGTAGTATATGGCTTGCTCCTTCCTCCCAGTTTCATCATGCTGCCCCAAAACACATCCAAATGCATTATCTAATACGGACATGTATAACAACAACGGCCTTCCAGGTTCCAGAGGTACCAGCACCGGTGGGTTAGATAAATATTCTTTGATCCTATCAAAAGCTCGTTGACATTCCTCTGTCCATTTGGTAGTGGCATCTTTCCTCAGCATCTTGAATATCGGCTCACAAATCACTGTTGATTGGGCTATGAAACGACTGATGTAGTTGAGGCGACCAAGGAAGCTCATCACGTCCTTCCGATTCTTTGGAGGTGGAAGGTCCTGGATAGCCTTTATCTTTGAAGGATCCAGCTCTATGCCCCTTCTACTGACAATGAAACCTAATAATTTTCCAGCTGGAACTCCGAATGCACATTTTGCAGGATTCAGCTTCAAATTGTATCGCCGCAACCTATCAAAGAACTTCTTCAGGTGTACCAAGTGATCTGAACTCTTCCGTGACTTGATGATGACATCGTCCACATAGACCTTAATCTCTTTATGGATCATGTCATGAAAAATAGTTGTCATAGCTCTCATGTATGTAGCACCTGCATTCTTGAGTCCAAAAGGCATCACCTTCATCCATTAAATTTGGTGGTAACCGGCAAAGCAATCAACGAATGACTGCAACTCATACTTTGCACAATTATCAATGAGTATGTGAATATTCGGGAGTGGGAAATCATCCTTTGGACTAGCCTTGTTGAGATCCCGATAATCCACACAAATTCTGATCTTCCCGTCCTTCTTTGGAACTGGTACTATATTGGCCAACCAGGTGGGGTACTTCGTGACTCGGATGACATTTGCCTTAAATTGCTTGGAGACTTCTTCTTTGATCTTTAAACTTAAGTCCATTTTGAATTTTCTTGTTTTTTGCTTTACCGGGGGACAAGATGGATCCGTTGGCAACTTATGGGAAACAATATTAGTGCTTAAACCAGGCATGTCGTCATACGACCAAGCGAACACATCGGCGTATTCTCTTAGAAGATCCACATATTTCTCCTTCTCTGATGGTGTCAAATGGACACTAATTCTTGTTTCTTTTATAGACTCTGAATTCCCCAAATTTATAAGCTCTGTTTCGTCCAAATTTGGTTTTGACTTGTTCTCAAACTGCTCAAGTTCTTTAGTTAATTCTGCAGGCGGCACGTCTTCTTCATATTCTTCAAGATCTTGCTTGTTATTTTGTTCACTTGTTTCATTGCATGACACGTTCACGGTGTCGGCATTTTTATTAATTTGTTTGCTGAAAAATAAAATAAAAAAGAAAGAAAATTAATAAAGACAAAAAATTTAAATGTAAAACGAAAAAGCATATTCAGATTTTGCATTTAAGCTTCCAAAAGATCGAGGCAAACAACATAAAAATCATAGACACAATTCAGGCCTCAATTTTGAATCGTGTTGCTTAAAAAGTACTAATACAATCGATCTACCAAGACTCCCGGCGAACCGGGGACGGGGTGCAAGTCCAATTGTTCAAAACATCTCCAGGTGCGACATCCCAAATAGTTGGTGTCTCAGTGCAATCATTCAGAATCACATTGCAATCGGCAAGGAATAGGTTCCTGATTCCTTCAACGAGGTCGTCTTCAGCATCTTCATCTAGCTCATGAATAGTAACTGTCTTGGGGAATGACTGGCTCAGCGGCGGGATAGGCTGTGGCAGGACAATGTCACTTTTCTTCTTGAGACGAGCCTCCGAGACTTCTTTTGGAGTGGGTTCGTACCCTAGGCCAAAGGCGTTGTTCTGCCCTGGTAACTGAATTGGCTCCACTATTCCATGCAACCTTGCTCCAAGTCCTCGACCAGGCTCAAAACCATTCTTCAACATTTCTGATGCCACCATCACGAACACACTTGGCAACTTTATCTCTTTACCTCGAGTAGCAGTCATAATTTCTTCAATGTGGAAAGTGGCTCCATCCAGCCTCTCCACGCTTTCAATGACAGGGATTGAATTCCCGGGATAAATGGGATTGCTTGCTTCTCCATGAATCACAACTTCCTGATGATTCCACACAAACTTCACGTTCTGGTGCAAAGTGGAAGGGACTGCACCAGCCATGTGAATCCATGGCCTTCCCAACAACAAATTATAAGTAGCAGATATGTCTAACACTTGAAATTCAATGATAAACTCCACAGGCCCAATTTGTAATGCTAAGTCACTTTCACCAATATCGCTACTTTGCGCTCCATCAAAAGCTCTAACATTCACATGACTTCCACGAACTTTTCCAGTGTCAATTCCCAAGGCTTTAAGGGTAGTGAAAGGACATATATTGAGTGCAGAACCATTATCGATCAAAACCTTAGAAACAAACTTGTCCCTGCACTTGACAGTGAGATGCAAGGCTTTGTTGTGACTTAGACCTTCAGGTGGCAACTCATCCTCGTGAAAAGAGATCTTGTGGAGTTTCTAGAATTTGGGCTACCATAGTTTCGAGATGTTCACTAGTTGTCTCGGCTGGTACATATGCTTCATTGAGTACTTTTACCAATGCATTCCTGTGGCTATCAGAACTCATCAATAATGACATGAGGGAAATTTGAGTCGGCGTCTTCTTTAGTTGGTCTATAATAGAGTATCCACTACATTGCATTTTTCTCCAAAACTCTTCTGCTTCATCTTCTGTCGCGGACTTCTTCTGGTTGTTGTCCTTACTTGAAGTTCCTCATGATGCTTCTTCAGGAACATAACACCGACCGGATCTCGTCATACCTGCAGCAGCAGCTTCTACAACTAATTTTGCCTTTCCTTTGTTCCTTATATCAGACTGGTAGTCCCAAGGAACTGCTTTGGTTTCAAATGAAGGTGTCTGAGAAACTAGAGCCATGATCCTGGGCTTCGGAGGGAGTACTTCCACCTCAATTGGTGCTCGCACTTGCACTGTGATGATAGGAGCAATGAAGGAAGATGACACAGCCTTTTTCTCGTCTTCAATTGGTACAATTGTTCCTTCCAAATTCCAATCCTCATCAGTAGATATCATGTTAATACCGGTATCATCGTGATTTGGAAGAGGGTTGTTGTTCACATTCGGGGGAGCTCCCTTAAGCTGAATGGTTCCTGATTTGATCAACTCTTCAATCTTATCTTTGAGAGTAAGGCAATTTTCTGTGTCATGTCCAGTCACACCAGAGTGATATGCACAACGTTTGGTCCCATCATACCATCTTGGGAGGGGGTCGAGAACTCTTCCTGGGACTGGTTGGAGTACTCCTGCGGCTTTCAACCTTTCAGCTAGGGGTGTATAGGTTTTGGCTGGTTTTCTTTCAAAGCTCGGGCGAGGTCTAGGTGCATTTGGGCGGTTTTGTGGTTGGTAGCGGGGTTGAGATGGATATGTGGGTTGGTAATGTGATGGATTCTGGTATGTGGGTGCTCGGGGTGGATAATAGGTTGGTTGGGTGTTATAAACAGGATAGGGAATGGGCGAAGGCTGGTAATAAGGTTGAGGAGTTTGGGTGTATGGGCTATAGTATGAAGGTTGGGGTAATGGGTTTTGGTAGGTTAACATTTGGTTAGGCCTGCGGTCTTGGACGGTCATAACAGCGGATACTTCTTTCTCCTTCTTCTTACTTGCTCCTCCAATAGTTCCTGACTGGATTGTCTTACTCGTTGCTTGTAGTGCTGCCAAGTTTGTTATTTTTCCAGATTTGAGACCTTCCTCTATAACGTCTCCCATCCTAACAACTTCCGAGAATTTCTGCCCCAGCATGCTTATCAATCTCTCATAGTATGTCGCATCCGTTTGAGATCGAATAAAAGTAGTTGTCATCTCATCCTCTCCCATCGGGGGTTGGACTCTTGCTGCTTCTGCCCTCCATCTCATGGCATACTCTCTAAAGGATTCTGTTGTTTTCTTCTCCAACGTCATCAAATAGAATCTATCTGGGTTGGTCTCGGTGTTAAATTTGAATCTGTCCATGAATTCTTGCGCCATTTCTGTGGATCTTGACTTGTGTACCAATCAAGGGCTTCCCCTGTAAGACTCCTTATAAAAAGCTTCATCCTGATAGCTTCATCCTTTCCCACTCCAACTAACTTATCACAATACGACCTCAAATGAGCTCGCGGGTTTCCTTTTCCATCAAACATGTCAAATTTTGGTACTTTATATCCTGCAGGTAAATCGACATCGGGATGAACACATAGATCTTCATACTCCAAACCTTCCATACTCCTAACGGTTTTCAGACTTTTGAATGCTTCCTTTAACTCACGGATCTCCTTCGCCATACACTCGTCGGCTTTGGCCCTTACATCTTTTTCTGCTTCCTGATATTGATACACTTCGGAGTGAAGTTGGTGAGGCATAGGGGTAGTAAAAGGTTGTGCTTCCGCTACATATACCGGTGGAACATGCTGCATGTTAGGAATAACGACGTGTGTCATCGGTATGTGTTGGGTTACATGGTGATTTTGAGTTAGCGGGGTGCTTTGGGCTGGTGATGGTTGGGAAACATATGATGTGGTAAAATTCGATGGGTTGGCTTGTTGCGGGTTAGCATGTGCGTTAGTGGATGTTGGCTTGTTGTTGTGAAGTGGAGGGTTTGGTGGAAGGTGTTCCGGGATAGGTGAGTCAAAAGATGGGAAAGGTGGTGCATTTGTCCTTTCTTCGGGAAGTGGTGTGTTGAGGCTAATAGAAAGATTGGTAAGGTTCCGAAGCCGTTCAATTTCACCTTGCAGGTTAGCCACTTGTTGCGACAACTGGGCGATGTGTTCATTACGAAGGGTAACCTCCCTTCTGTCCGAAGCCTCGGGTTCGTCTCATTGAACGGTGACAAGTCCCAAGCCTGTCATGTTAGGTGTGTTTGAACCAGTCATGTTGGTAGCTGCTCGTGCCTTGGATCTCGTGAAGTATGGGCGTTCAGCCAGTTCGCAGTCAACACAAATCAACCTTGGGGAGTAATAAAATAGAAAAACCTTTAAAAAGAAAAATAAAGACAATGTTAGTAAGTGGTGATTAAATTTAAAATCAAGTATATCACATAACAAACAAATCATGTAATATACAAACAAGTCAAGCAATGTTAAGCGTGTCCTAGTATGCATGGGACCTCTTTGTGCTAGAGGTAGGCCTAGCGAAAATTTGAGAGATAAACACACCATTATATATCATTCCATTGCTCCTTAATTAGATATCCAAAACAAACTTTCATTGATGATTCAAGCTTAGTACATAAATAAAAAGAGAAATTGCCTTAGTCTAAAACGATTACAACGGCATAGCCTTAATTGAAATAAAGATTACAACATAGTTCTAATCTAGTTGACTGAGGATGATTCTTCATCGCCCCTTAGCCTCTTCGCTGCTCTGATTGCCTCATCAATTTTCTGGCGATTCTTCACAAGGTAAACCATGGCTAGCTTTCCTCCTTTGTCCAGTCCTTGGCAATAGCATTCTATGAATTGCTTCTCGAGGTCTCCATCCAAATCTTTGAGTCCTTGCTCCATTTCCACAGCTTGTTGTTTCCACATTTCTATTTGTTGCTTTGGCATCTCTTCTTGTTGTCTCAACATTTCAATCTTTTTGTTTTCCTTCTCATGCTTCTCCTTGTGCTTTGCTTCA